GAGCCGGCGCTACAAAGCCTGGGCTGGGATTATGTAGTGGGGGCTGGTCCTGCTTGGAGCAGGGGATGGACTAGATGCGACTTCCTGAGCTCCCTTCCAGCCTCACTTTCCTATGACTCAATAAAAACGTCCTTGAAATGCTCTGTTCGTGGAGGCAAGGATTTCTGAGGTCCGTCGCTTTAATCAGACCAACCTCGTAGCTGGGAGAATCAAAGACAAGCTTCTGAAAGCAAGATGTTCTTCCTCGGGTCTCGTTTACGGGGAATGGTTTCAAGGAAAAATAAAACCACCTTAAAAAGCCCAAAGCGTTTCGACTCTACTGCAGCTGTTTGTGGGCGACACCTTTTACTGGACCTACGGCATGGCCAGGAGAGGTTTAGACCAGGTATTCATCTTTGACTATCAGCTATTAACGCTGACGATTCATTTTGGGGAGGGGAGTTTTAGGTGGGGAAAGGGGGCATTTGCAACCAAAAAAATAACGCATTTATATAACTTGGATAATTCCAGCGCAATACGATCAGCTGGAAGGCACGTCAGGAGGTCCACGTCCAACCCCCTGCTCCAAGCCAACTCTCTCATCCGAGCCAGAGAGAGGTTGCGTCCAGTCTCCACCAGCAAAGACGTTGCATGTATTGACAGCACTTTATGGAAGCAGGGCACTGGCTCGGGTGCGAGGTCTCTGCCATGTCAGGGCTGACCGTCGTCTTACGGAGAGTTTAGACAATTATTTTTTTGGGCTGGTTTGGTCCTGCCTCGGCCAGGGGATGGAGTAGATGGGACCTCCAGAGGTCCCGTCCAACCCGCTTCTCCACGACTTTGTGCCTCCACATACCACGCCAAGCTGCCAAACACATCCCAACGCCCTACAGCCTGCAGACCGTTCCTACAACAGCCCCAAAACCTCCACCAGCTCTGCTGAAACTCCTTGCCATGTATTGCTCCTCCTCATTCAACATGGTCAACCAGCATGAGACAGGTTCTGCTTGGCTTAAAAACCAGGAGATTATTAAAATGATGCCTTTTCCCTTGTTTTTCTTTGGAGGTCCTGGCAGCAAGCAGTCAGCAATCGAAGCGGTCTTCAAAATCCCCACTGCAAACCCTTTCACACGGCGACAAGGCACCGGGACAGACATGCCAAGACCCTGCATCGTAGCAAGCCACAGGTAACAGCCCTGCAGACGCGGGCACTGCCAGCATCCTACCGCTGCAATGCGGCAGGACTCGGCAAAGAGCAGGGAAGGAGCTGGTTACTACAAACACCTGGGTCCTATTCGGAGCTGGAGAGAAAAGGGATTTTTGTGCTTGCAATAGACTCATAGAAAATGAGGGTCGAAGGGAGCTCAGGAGGTCACACCTAGTCCAACCCCTGCTCCAAGCAGGACCAGCCCCAACTACATCATCCCGGCCAAGGCTTTGTCTACCCGGGTCTTAAAATCCTCCAAGGATGGAGATGCCACCACCTCTCTGGGGAGCCTGCTCCAGTGCTTCACCACCCTCCCAATGGTTGAGGCTGATGCCATCAGGGAAATCAATAAGAAAGATGGAAAAATTCCTTTTGATGACCCCAAAAATGCCCATTTTCTCCTTGAAATCTGCTGGAATTCCAACTGATGTTTTTCAAGCCGTTCTCAGAAATATCATTTAAAAAAAGAGAGACTGATACAATGCTCCAGGGCAGGACTCCATCACCCCCCAGATGGGCTTGTAAAGCCATGGCAGGAGCTCGCGGTGCGGTTGCAACCCTCTCAGAAGTCACCGAGGCAGGTTCGCTGTTGGGTTAAATGCTGCTGTGCAAAATAAGGGGCAATGGCTGAAGACAAAGAGCTCCTGAACGGACCAGGCCGTTCACAGCTTCACATCACCCCCAGCCTTGCATGTCCAGGGCAGGCTAATTAACCTGCCCGTGACACCCCATAACAAGGCCACGTGGCTTCAAGAAGTAGCTTGATGGCACTGCACTTTGGGCTCGGGCACGTCTTCCAAAGACTTCAACCTCCGCCGTGGCAGGATAAACCCCTGGGCGCCACGTTGCCGGCTTTCAACCGCATCCCCTGCAGAAGCTATGATATGACAGGCACTCACGGGCTGCATGGGCCAGGGATGTGCTGAGAGATTAGCCCCCGTGTCCAGCTCCCAGGGCAAAACCCTGCAAAAGACCCCTTGTTTTGCACGCCCTTGTGATCTGTCGGTGCACGACCAAGTGTCTCTGCTTTAACGGCCCGAGCCATGAGTGCATTGACAGGGAAATCCCTTCTTACCTTCATCAGTGCCAACTACCGTCTCCCCAGCTAGCTCTGAAGAGGGGGAGAAGGTGGGGGATGAGGGAAAGACACAGAAAGACGCGGGAGAAGGAGGAGAGAAAGAGAGAGAGAGAGCTGGGTTAGCACCTTTGCTTTCACACCTCGGCTAACACGTGTGCACATGTCAATGGAATTGCTGTAGAAAAAGGAAAGCACCTGCTGTGCACAAGCACATGCACACACATTTCATGCATCGTTAGGCACTGGGAGTAGCTACAAGCCGCCAAATGTCCCGCAGAAACCCAGTCAAGCCACCCCCAAATATCCCTTTGCTCCAGCATTAGGAAGGGAACATAGATGCCGGCAAGGGGACCTTTCCACCAGCTGCCCCCCATGCAAGGAACATATCAGAGGCCGTGGTACATGTGCCTCCACCTCCTCCCCTATGGAAAGGTTGGAAGGAGTTTTAGGCAATCTTGCAGGGCCAAATGCCAGGGGTTTTCCTGATGCAAACAAGAAAGCGCTGGTTTAGGCGCCTGGCTGTAGCCACACAATCAAAGCAACCCCTAAAGGACCAGCCCTAAGAGTCCAAACCTCCCAGTTAAACCATCGTTAAGAACTTGTCCCCAATTCTTCACTTAATGAAGGCGGGAGCGGGGCTTCCTGATCAACCCCTGCAGTTAACATGCACCCAATCGGGTTGCAGATAGACGCATGCTCTTAATGAGTGCAGAGATGATTATAAACCTGGGGGAAGTGGGGAAGAACTGAACAAGGGCTCCGAGCTCCTGGGGTCCGGCCTGCACCCGCGGCATGAGTACGGGTTTGCATTTCCATTGCCTGATCTGAATGCTGGTTGCACTCAGGTTGAGCTTCGTGACTGTCTTGAGAAGAGACAGACATGCTCTCTCTTTAGTCCAGGCCCCCCCTTCAATTTGGGGCTGGAGGGCTTCCTTGCACCCATGCCCATGAAAAGCCTCCTGATAACACAGCGTCGATCCCATGGCTTCAGGCCACGAAGGGGTCTCTGCTCGCTGCCCACAGCGGGTTGCACTCAGGGCAGCGAGAGCAGAAGGGAAGGAGACCTCGACAGCTGGGGAAGGGAGGGTCAAGTGCCGGGGAGCTGGGATCCGTTCCCGGGCTCTGGGACAGCTGAAAGCACCCCCCGGCTGGCACACGGAGAGCCCCTGCCAGCCGCACAGCCTGCTTCGACCAGGTCTCTCCGCGGCGCGGCACCGACGCTGGTAGCAACACAGGTATCGCAGTCCGGCTTGAACTTGAGTCACCGTGGATGTTACCCATGGACATGTACCCGCCACGCATGTTACCCATGGAAATGCACCCCCCACACGTGTTACGCCTGGAAACGTGCCTGTGGCGGTAGCAATGGGTAGCGCGGCCACACGCCACTCGTGCCAGGAGACGGACCCCAGCCCCGGCGCTCACTCACCTCCCATCTGCTGGAGCAGGATCTCCGCCGGGTTGTGCGGCTTGAGGCCCAGGGCGGAGAGCGGGGTCTTGGCCAGGCCGGGCGGGGAGCGCACTGCGGGCAGGGAGAAACGAGACCACGAAGCAAGCTGTTAATGTAAAGCTCCGCAAATCCCCGGCGGCGCGTTTACAGCCAGCTCTGCGTGTTACACATAACGGGCATAACAGCTCCCGAGAGGCACGTCAGCCTGGCTCGGGCTTGCTGGCCCAGCTGCCAGCACATGCGAATTCCCTGGGGAGCGAGCTGAGCATCCCCTCCCTAAGCACCCCCAGGCACCAGGGGAGATTTGGGACAGGCTGGTAAACTGAGGCACGCAATGGTCATACAACCTCCCCCACTCCAGGAACAAGCTGCAGGAGTCCTGGCTTCTGGGTCATCCAGACTTTGGGCCCCAACACAAAGCCGGACACCCGGGCAAAGGGACCAGGATCAATCCACGACCCGACCCACCCTCACCCGAAAATCCCACCACCCTCCCAAAGTCCTTCCAGCAGAGATGCCAACCCGTGCCCGTGAAATGAAGACGTGGACAAAAGCACTTCCAGCGACCAGGATGCATGTCAGGACTAGCCAGCGTAATGGGCATGGATGTATGCAGTACGTGCAAAAATGCACGCACGCGGGCCGCCAAACATACATCCGCAACGAATGGCATGTGGTATGTCGATACGGGCATATGTGCTGGGTACAGACACGCAGCCGGGGCATGGAGGGATGGACGCGGGAGATGTGTGTGTTGCAGCGAGTCTCGCAGAAAGGGCTCGATATGACCTGGGCATTTTTCCTCCCACCCCTTTCCCATGGATGTCTCTCTCCCTGACGCTGCATGCTACCAGCTCCAGACAATCCCGGCTTTCTAGGAGAGACCTCAGCCCACGAGGTGACCGAAGGCGGCGAGAGCCATAAAAAAAGGAGACAAACAAAGTCCGCACATTCCTTCGCCTTCTCGGGCATGGACCGACGGCTCGGGAGGGCGCCCATGCTGGCAGCGCGGAGTGAGGGAGGCGGGCACGGAGACAAGCCAGGCCCCGTGAGCTCGTGTCTCCGCGGCCGTGTCGGCAAATGCAGCGGAGCGACCGGGAAAGCTGAGACGGGAGCATGGGCTGCTAACGTGCAACTCTGCGGTGCAAGGGTTCGAGACCCACAAGCTCGCTCGGTGGGGAACCAGAGTTGTCCCTGCTGTCCAGCTCCATATGCAAAGCTCAGATATGCAGGGGGGGGCTGAATTTGGGGGGTACTGCAGCTGGGCAAGGACAAGGCAATACCCAGGGAGACTTACTGCCCCATGGGGCTTCTCAAGCCTCACTGTTACCCCCCGCATCTTGATGCCTAGGGGCATCGCCCCCAGCCTGAGCTGCTGGGAGGGGAGAGAGCAGCACCTATGGAGTTAAAAGCCACCGCTCCAGGGTCTTGCAGATCCCCATTCGAGTGGTATTGGTGCCGGGATGGCCAGACGCAGGCCGGGAGGTGACACCGGTGGCTCCGCTCCCGACTGGGACGAGGGTCCCACCAAAGAGCCCCCCCAAAGCAGGAGGCTGGCTGCTGCATCCCGGTCACTCACTGATCCACTGCAACGGCCCACGCCGGCACGGCCCCGGGGCACGGCCCAAGGCACTTAGGAAGCAAGCGGGGTGGAAGAGGGCAAAGACCAGAGCACAGGGCAGTGTCACACGGGCTGGCGAGCATCTAAGCAGGCCTGCGTGGCCGGACGTGGCCGCTGGCCCAGGACGGAGATGGACAGAAGCAAGTCAGCCTTGCAAAGGAGTCAACTCCTGCCCTCGGGGCAGCACCGAGGACTGGGGGTATCTTATAGGGCCAGGCATAGCATCGGCTTGCCCCGGAGGAAGCCACGTTCAGGATCCTGAGAAAGTCGGGTTTTCCCAGTCCCCGCACCACATCTTTGGGGGCCCGGAGAGGCCTGAACGCTGCTGGAGAAATGAAAGGAGCTGCAAGTGGAGGAGACAGAGCAGGTTGGGAGGAAAGCGCTGAAATGGCGGTGGGGCTCCGCGCCGCGCCGCCCCATCCCCGGCTCCCGAGCCGTGGCACTTACTCAGGTTAACGTATAGGGTTTGTGGCGAGACGGGGAAGGCAGGGGTTGGGGGGGAAATCTCACCGCCACCGGGGGGTGGGCTGCTTGGGGATGTCCCCTCCATCTCTTCGAAGGCTTCCTTGTAGCTGTGGAGGTGAGGCTGCGGAGCGGGGCGGGAGAGACGGTCAGCCCCAAACCTCGTCCCAGCAGAGCCCCCTCCCCACCCAGCCTCAAATTCCCCCAGGCCCACAGCTCCGGGAATTGGGGAGGGGGTCCCAAAGCACCTCTCTGGGCCTTCCTCCCGGGTTGGCAGCGATGGTGCTGACCACCTCCGGCGAGACGCAGTGGACGGGAGACCGGGCCGTGGGGCTCCGCGCCGGGCTGGCGTCCTGGCCCCCGCTCTCGTATTGGCCCTCGCTGGTCGTTCGCCTCCGGGCCGGGGCTGCGGCTGCGATGTCATCGGGGGGCTTGTCCCGGGCTTGGACCCCTGGAGGGACAAGCACAGGGTGGGAAGCGCTCGTTAGAAACCAGGAAAAGCCTCGCTGGGTGGAGCAGCCGGGGGGGCTGGGGGCACCGGCAAGGAAACAGGTCGTTCATGTGCTCATCTCCTCCCAGGAGGGGATGGGGAGACAGGCCGGGACCGGGCATTGGCTCCGTGGCCCCAAAGCCACCTCCTCGCTCCCTCTTGTCACGCGCCCCCAGCCCCTCCGGAGAATCCCGAGCCCCCCAGATGCTCCAGCGCTCGCCTCGAAGACGACCAAGGCACCCATGGGCAGAGAGCCGTGCCCTGCCCCCTGCTACATCCCAAATAAACGGCCATGCCCACCAGAAATGCAGCCAGCTCCTGGCAGAGATGAAGTGATGTGCCCAAGGCTGCCTCACACACCAGTGGCAGAGCCGAGAGCAAAGCCCTTGCATCCTCTCCTCGGCCCCAGGCTGCCGGCAAGGCCCAGGCACCGCGGGGAGCACGAGTTTGCTGCGTGCTGGGCCAGGCATCAGAGCCGTGACGCGGGGTCCTGGGGACGGGACGGAGCCCAGAGCGGAAAGCAAGCACAGGCAATGCAGACGCAGCAAAGCCCAAGCGCAGCCTGCGGGCGCCCGAGCCCCGAGCGAACACTGGTGGGTGGCGACAGAGCCCCCCAGGCACATGACCCCAAAGCTGGGGGCGTCCCGGCTGCCCGGAGCCCTGCCCACGTGTGCTCGAGCCGGCTGCTCCGGGCACCCGCATGCGATTCCCAGCGCGTGGCTCCGTGTCCATCCGCACGGCCAGGATCGGGCCTTCGAGCCCCCCCGACCAGCTCCTTCCCAGCCCTGCAGACTCTCCCTCGGGCTTGGCCAGGGTCCCTGCACCTGCTGCAGATGGGAGCCGCTCGTCACGCCAAGCCCCGGGGGCCTGAATCAAGAATAACGAGCCGAAGAGACAATTTCCCTCCTCTTAAACCGAGCAGAGCAAAGGGGGTGGGCTCCCAGGCCCCGGTTTGGGAGCTGGGGAAACTGAGGCACAGTCGGGGGAGGAGCCAGATCCAGTCAAAGGTCACGCAAGACATTGGAGACTGACTGTACAGGCCTGGACACTTGTATCAGGGTAAAAAAGGCGCAGATGCATACCATAAACCCTTCCCCCCCACGTAGCTTTGCCCCACTAGGGATGGTTTTACCCCCCTGGAAATCCCCAGGGTAATTCTGCATGCCCAAGGCAGCCGGGGTGACCCTGGTGTGGCTGCACTTATCCTGGGGGAGCTGCTAATCTCTCTGCTCCGCAGGTGTTAACGACCCTCTCTCCCTTCTAATGCTCTTGATGTCCCACTATGCAAAGCATCCTTTCCTCCTCCCTGCTTCTGCCTGAGCAGCCCGGCCTGGTCACAGCCCTCTCCTCTTCCCCAGCCCTGCAGCTCTAGCTAAAATCTCCAGCCAGCCACCGACATATGAATTCAGGTGTAGAAACAGCCAACGGCGAAGCACTAGGGGTGCTGTCAAGACCCTCAAGAGAGATACGATTTTGTATGACCAATGTGAGCAAGGCTCCTGCTGCACGTTACATATATTACGCAATTCACTGGTGAACCGTGCAATAAATTTACACCAGCCACATGTGCAAAGTAAGTATCTCACAATATGCTGGTGAACCTACACAATACATTTAAACCAGCCACACGTGCAAAGTAATCATCACAATTCATTGGTGAACTGCACAATAAAGACCGGTCACACATGCAAAGTAATTATCATGGGATTAAAATGACCGTCCGGCTATAACAAAGAGCCAGCCAGCTATAAAGTTAGCTCTTGAAAATGTGTAACAGCTCTAGAGTTGGTTTCTATCTGGCTTTAATTGGACTAGATGACTTCCTGAGGCCCCTTCCACCCTTAATTTTCCCTGAGGTCCCTCTCCTCGACCTCTTGAGGTCCCTTCCAACCCTACGAACTATGGGATGTACGCTACCCTCTAATGACCACAGCACTAATGAAACCATCTCGTTTGCCTAACGCACTACGGTTTCTTTCACCTTTGCATCTATTTGAGCCGATCAGCGCACGTTCCAGTAGCTCGCTTCATATAGCACCAGCCCCGCTGGCCTATTCGTTAAGCATCCGGCTCCTCGTTAACCGGAGGACAAGGTGCATGGCGTTAGACACAACGACCTGACACAGCTCCAGGAAGATGCCCAGCCTGGAGCCTAAAATCAGGCCCTCGGAGACGGACCGGCTCCTGGGAAGCTGGCCCAGGCAAGGGCTTCTAACCACTCCACGAATGCGCCTAATGCACCGCAACCAAGCCCGGCGCCGGACACATCCAGCACCCCCTCTGCCTGCCGCGGGGGAAAGCCCTGCCAACATCCTGCCAGGCGCTCGGTAAATCCTCTTGGAAGAAGAGACGATCAACCATGGACGCTAAGGGGACCCCCGCGTGTCCTGGAGCTGGGGCTGGATGGGGTCCGGGAAGAGAGGCAGCGCCTTTGCCTTGGATGGGGATGATGAAGCGCATGGGCCGCGGGAGAGGAAAGAAAGAGCTGCCCCTCCCTGGGGCTCAGGACCGCAGCAAGCAAGGGGCAGAGAGGATCCGGGGCAGGGAAGAGCTGGCCCAGGGGAGCTCCTCGGCTGGAGGCCTCCAAGCGGAGGCAGGATACGGACCGGGCTGGGATGGGCATGGCTGCATTCCTACCGAGGGCTTGGCCCCCCCACCCCAAGGTCCTCCTGGCTGACCCTCCATCCTCCACCCCAAGGGTGTAATCGGCCCCCTGCTCACCTCCTTCGCTTCCAGCCAGGCCCGTGGCCTTCCTGACCCCCGCCACTCCCCAGCCCCGGCAGCCGGCACACCTCGGATCAAACCCCCAGGGAACAGCAATCCCAGAAACCGGAGGTGGTGGGGAGCTGCGGGGTCACAGCTAGTCCTGACCCCAAGTGCAGGGGCAAGACCCTCCAGCCAGGACCCTGCGGGTCGGTGCCAGCAGGAGCATCGGCACATCCCGGTCCCCGTCCCCAACCCGGGCTGCGTCCAGTACCTCGGAGGAAGGCCCAGGGTGGAGGGTAGTTGTATGGGATCCACTAGATCTGTCCAGGCTGGTTTGCACAGAGCTCAGGAAGACCAGAACGGGCTGTGCTTTTAACACTACCGATTCCTATTCAAAGCCTCTGGGTTTATCTTGTGAGCGGCACCCGCACCCCAACCCATGCTAGACAAGGCACCCGCCCCATCATGCTCTGCAGAGTCCCACTCCTGGGACCTGGAGTCATTAATCCCTACAACCGCTGAGTTTGAACACAAACTGGTCTGCCCCAATGTCTCCCAAGGGCACGGCGGGACCTCCCGAGGTGGCAGCACGTCTCTGCATCCCCGTCTTCGTGCCCTTTACACGTCTCGGCCGGTTCCACGTACGTCCCCATCTGCAACACCCTCCCTGACCTCCACCAGCACCGCGTTGCAGCTGACAGAGGAAACAGCCTTCTCCGCTGTCTCCTTTGGGGTCCCCAGACCCGCTTCGGTTCAAGCCCCGGCGTGGGCAGAGCTGGCGACAACCGCGTGGCCGCGAC